ATTTTGCAAATTACCATATTCTAATTTTAATGGCTGCATATTTTAATCTAATTTAATGATCACAGTTTTCTAAAAATCCCCTTATTCCTGAATGTTCATTATTTTTTTCTTTTGGGGTTGTTTTTCAAAGGGTATAAATATTTTTTATCATACATGGTCCCCATTTTCAAATTGCTTTCCATTTTTATCATGATTGTGCCCAAGTAAAAATTCTGACTGCATTGTTGTTTTGATTTGCATTTTAATAATAATTAATGAGATATCTTTATCAATTACATTTCTTTGTCTGGATTGACTTGGCATATCTTTTCTAATTTATTTCTTGGTTATTTTTTGAAAAGTTTCTATGAGCTTTTTATATATTTTAAATATTAATTTTTGTTACCTTATATCTACTTGGTTCTACTATTTCTCAATGTGATTTAATTATTATTTTGTTATTTTATGCAATTAATGATTTTAGCTTTATCTAATCTAGATTATCTGTTTCTGATTAGTTTTTCATGAATGCCTTCAAAATTATTTTAAAATTACAGTGATAAAAATAGTGTAGTTATCTGATTATTATTATTGTTAATTTTTTGGGAGACAGAGTCTCACTCTGTCACCCAGGCTGGAGTGCAGTGGTGCTATCTCAGCTTACTGCAACCTCTGCCTCCCAGGTTGAAGCAATTCTCCTGCCTCAGCCTCCCAAGTAGCTGGGATTACAGGCATGTGCCACCACGCCCAGCTAATTTTTGTATTTTTAGCAGAGATGGGGTTTTGCCATTTTGACCAGGCTGGTCTCGAACTCCTGACTTCCAGTAATCCGCCCCCTTTGGCCTCCCAAAGTGCTAGGATTATAGGCGTGAGCCAACGCGCCTGGACTGATTATCATTTTTTATGTTGCTTCTTGGTCTACTGTCAAGTGGCTTGAATTCTTACGGACTTGTATATTCTAAAACCTTGACTAAGGTGGGGGGAATTAACAGTTTGAACCATTAGTAGTTAAAGGATCTAATATGTCATATAATTTTTTCAGATCAAATGTAGACTTATAGATTGATGGTTTAGACAGCAAATGAAAACTACATTCAGAAATTTCTGAGTACAGTGAATCTGACTAGTAAATTAATAATTGTATTTAACCTCAGTTTTAAAAACAAAAACACTTATATTTATTAAACACTTGAAAAACACTCCATGTTTGGAAATTATTTTTTTTTCCACGAGCTTTTGAGCATTTATAACACTACTTTCCAGTGTCTTGTTTTTAAACTGTAAGTAATAGTACATTTTTAAATGTGATCTCAACTCATTGGTCGTTTGCAGAAATCATTTTAGCAGGCCCCCGTATTGATTACCTAAATCATGCCTTGTTGGTTTTCTTCTTCTGAGGCTCAGATTTTATGGTATAAACAGGATGCACTTTTGGAATTTATAGTGCATTTCAAGATTTTCTTTATATTGGTTTAATTGATATTATAATTATTTTTAAATAACCTAAGTTATCTGGTAAATAGTTTATTGGTAGATGGTTGAGCAGTATCTTTTTTAACTTTAATTTAGAGATGGGAATTCAATATATCTTCCAATATTTCGTACAGTAGAGGAAGAATTTAAAAAGTGAATGAAAGGTTGTTTTCCCTTAGTTTTAAAAGATAAATTGTAATATCAAAAATATTATAAAGTAAATGGGTAACCAAAATCATCAAGATAGTTAAGAAAATGGAATTAAGTTGGTTATAACAAATCATAAAAGGAGAGGAGTCATACTTGTTAGGACAAGCTTATGCTAATGACATATCAGCCTATGTTATCCCAGGTCAATAGATATGAAAACCGCAGTTTACCCAGGGTTACTTAACTGATAATAATAGTGTGAAGATAACAAATTGAACTGATACAAGTAGAAAGACTAAGAATGATCTTCGGGATAAATGAAAACAAATGGATAATAAACTGATGTTGCAGAGTAATATAGATTATGGTGTTATGCTTTAAAATATCAGTATTGATAGAAATATTCTCATGTTCTTTTGTTCTTTTGAAGGGTAAAAAGGGCTGTTTATCTTTTTTTGCATGTCATCAGTTTCATTGGGTTGCCTTATTTTCATTCAGAAAGAGTATGGACTAATATCCATATTGAGGTATGATTTAGACTTGAGTGTACTAGTAGGAAATTTATCAGTTGCGTGTGTGCAGTAGTGCTTGGAATGAAATGTCACTTTCATCTCTGATACTGTACCTAGTGCGTTTTCTCATAGGCTTAATTTTGCCTTTTCAAGTTTGATGTCCTGTTGTTCAACACGAACAACAGCTTTAAAGGGCGATATCTAACTCATTCTTAAAGGAAATATATATGACGCTGTAACCTTGTTACTCTAGCATTGTTTTCAAAATGTTAATTACTAAGTTTTCCAGAAATGACTTTTAAAGATAAATGCATAAAAGAGATGGGTAAATAATATTTGGGGATGATAAGTGTAACAAGTGGAGAACAAAAGTAGAATGCGTGTCCTCAAATTCATCTTTGTAATTTCCCACTTTTTCATTTGGATGTACTTGTCAAATACGAGTTGAAATTCAGACAGATCGAATTGGGTTTTTAAGTCTAAAAATGACTAGAAGTTTGGGTTTAATATTGTTATGAAGTTTTGTGTTTAGTCTGAAGTAAGTGAGCTTGCTACATCTCAGTCACTTCCTGCCTCATCCATATTCCTTAGTGTATAGCTGTGTTCCATCTCCTTGTATATATTGCAAAATGATCTGTCACTGTTAGGACACTTCAGGTGGAAAAGGTTTTCAGAGATTTATTTAAAATATCAAATTGCTACTAAGATGGAATTTTTTTAAACTTTATTTTGGTGCAATCATTTACTTTGTTTTGGTGCAATCATTAGCAATAAAGCAAGAGTGAAATGGATGAGAGAGATGAGTATCATAGACTCTAAGAAGACATCCTTATTGATAACGCTCTTTAAAAAGGAGTCCAAGAGAGCACCACCATAGTGGCGATTTCACATTTTTGTTTTGTTTTTTTTAACCTTGATATCAGAATCAGTGTGTGAAGTAATGGGAACCACCTCACCCATTTTTTTCTGCAATATGGTACTGGTATATATGCATATATGTACTGGTGCATTAATTTATGGGGTTGAGCAGGAGTTCATGATGCATTAATGTTATAACATAATTATAACATTAATATTTTGTGGATTCTTCAATACATAGCAATTAAAACAAAATGATTGTACTCCAAGTACAGAAATCAGGGAATAGTTTCAGTAGAATTTCAGCTTAAGAGATATTTACTTACATATTGAGAGTCAATCAAAGTGAAGTCTGAGCCTAGGACACTATGTAAGTGAAGTACTATGTTTATTTCAGAATTTCTTAAATTTATACTTGACAGGAAAGTTCCTGGGCTTGCAAGTGATTATTGTTGTTGTTACTAACTGGCATAGATAAGAGGGGAAATGGTGGTTTAAAGTGTACATTCAATCAGCAGCAAGGGCTGAACTATTGAAAATGTGTTCTCTGTCCAGAAAACATTTTATTTTCACATAATTGTTTAAGTGTCTCCAGTGAACATTTACAATATTTATGGGGGTATAGTGCTTGTGGTTCAGTTAGCTCAAAGTCTTAACTTCTGTGCCTGGGTAATGGTGTGTTGTATAGCAGTAATTCTGAAATTATTTATAATAAAGGAGAAAACACCAGAGAAAATACCTGTTTACTGCTTCTAGTTTTACAACAAGGGAACACTGTTAGGAGTTCCAAAGTAGCATTAGTAGTTCAATGTTGAGATATTTTGTCTCCTCACCCCCCTGTCTCTAACATCCTGTTTCATCACAAATGTTTATCATTTTACTCATTGGTTCTCCACCCGTCTTGTGGGCTGCTGTGGTTGCTGTCACCCAGCCAAGAGGCTGGGGAATGCCTGTCCACAAGCAGTAAGGGGCATGTGGCTAGGGTGCTCAGAAGGTCCTGAGCATTGTAGTATTAGCATTGTGAGGCCATTGAGATAGGGAGAGAACAAGCCTATTTAAATAGCTGCCAGAATGATCAATACAAGCACCATTGTTGCTAGTCATAGTGGAAATATACGCACTGTCTTTAGCTGAAGTGTACAACATTTGAAGATGTCATACTGAGGTGTTCTGAAAGCTTCAAAACAGAAGAAGAAAAATTCTTATCTAAATAATATTACTATCTTAAAAAGGCTGTTCTGAGTGGTTGGTTAACTGTTTTAAAGAATGGTTTGGTTTGCCCGAGAAGTTTATTTGGTATTAATTAGCTACTCACTTAAAAATATTTAATATGACACAAGATACAATGTGATAGTACCATGGCACAGTCTACTTATTTCAGATGGAATTGACATTTTGGAAGAGTATGGACCAGGAATTTTGTGATCTGGAGTTATGGATTTGGGGGCAAAATACCACAAGGCAAAGTTCCCATCTCATCACATTTTGTTAGGAATTGTGTCACATCAACATGCCTTATCACTGGTGATGTTAACCTTAATCACTTGGTTACGGTAGACTCTGCCAGGTTTTTCCACTGTAAAGTTACTGCTTTTCTCTTTCTATATTCTATTCTTTGAAAGTCAGCCCACACCTAACTGGAGAAGAATTAAGTTTTATCTTTGAAGGGAGGAAATAGCTACATATTTTATTGATTGATTGATTGACTTTGGTATGGATTCATGGATATTTATTTTATTATTTGGGTTATCATCTAGTGCCATCACTATTTTATTCCTCATAAACTATTTTCTAATTCTTAAGATTTCATTTTGCAGAGCACTCTAGCACTAATATTGTGTGTAGCTTAGTGCAACATCTTATCCACCTTTTTTTGCCTCTCCCTCCTCCACATGTTTGCACTCTCAGTTTTCAAACCAATGGATTCAGTTTTGCTGTTCTGGTTAAGATGAAGGTCATTTTCCTAATCAAGTTGTAATGCATGCACTGTGGGAGGAGAAGTCATAATACAAAACTTCTTGTCGGCAGATTGGCGAATTTACCTGAGACATTGAGGCTCAAGATTATGAGAATGTGTGACTAGGACCAAAATCATATTTCCAGGTAGGAAATCAAAATTGTTCTATTTAACTCCTTTGCATTTGATTTTGCAGAAGTCAAATCACTGATTTCTTAGGAGATACAAAATCTGAAAAGGAGGAGCAGCATAGACATTGAGGTTGTGCTAGGAATTACTTTGTTTTTCTTTCATTAGATTATTTTATTTGATTTCCAAACAATAGGGTAATAGCTAAGTTTTGAAACAAGATCTGAGAGGAACTTGCAGAAGCATATCTATGTTTGCAAAAGTGTTCCGGATATGATTTTGATTCTTGAAACCTATTTGAAAAATAATAATCAGAATATAAATAATCTTTAGGTTTATCATATCAGAGAAAATAGGTACTGGTTATGCGACGTTTTATGTGTTTCGTAGCATATTTATTAGCTATGGATTGATTTGTGCTTTGCATTTCTCATAAACTTCCCTAGATGTGATAAGGTCACAAACTCTCTCTTTTTTTTTTTTTTTTTTTTGAGACGGAGTCTCACTCTGTCGCCCAGGCTGGAGTGCAGTGGCCGGATCTCAGCTCACTGCAAGCTCCGCCTCCCGGGTTCACGCCATTCTCCTGCCTCAGCCTCCCGAGTAGCTGGGACTACAGGCGCCCGCCACCTCGCCCGGCTAGTTTTTTGTATTTTTTAGTAGAGACGGGGTTTCACCGGGTTAGCCAGGATGGTCTGGATCTCCTGACCTCGTGATCCGCCCGTCTCGGCCTCCCAAAGTGCTGGGATTACAGGCTTGAGCCACCGCGCCCGGCCAAGGTCACAAACTCTCTCTGTTAGAAAGGGCAGGGGTGGGGAAAACTCACACATCATGCATGCACTTAAGTTTTGACATATTGATTTACAAAGACAAGAATCAGCTTGCTAGCAGCTTCTATGAGGTAATTTTACATGGAGTAAGTAAAAAAATTAAATAGAGTTCACGCAGTATATGAAGATAAGCAACTGAAAATCTGAAATAAAAGTGGAGTTAATATTATGCAGTGATTCTTACCTCTGCTGTTAAAAGCATAAAAGCACTGTGATCCTTCCATCTAAACTACAGAGGTTTCAGCTCCATGGCAACACGAAGAACCTATTCTGTCAGAGGGTGTGTATACACAACTGCATTCAAAGCACGGGGCTGGGAGTGAGTTTGGGGGAAAAACCCCCAACCCTCCAAGACTTGCCCATGCATTTTTATGTGTGTATTATAATAAGGTCTTTGTGCAAGGAGGCCTGATAGAAGTTCACATCAGCTGCACTCTGGTCTTTTACATGATCTAGCCGCCATCCACCTCCCTTCTTTCTCCAGAAAGGAAGCCAGAAGAGGCAATTAAAGAATGTGACTGCAAGAGAAATGCTCTTCTCCCTCTCTCTTCTTGGAATGTCAACATAGTTATTGCTTTTCTGTGTGTCTCAGGGGGGCACTTGGCTGCTTCTTTCCACAGCCTTATTCCAGGGAGAGCTGTTTAATTGTAGCCTTCATGTAGAGTAGGGGCTGGCGAGAGCCATAGTCAGCTTTCTCCTCTGTGCAAGGAGTGCTTTTGGTAGGTCACCTGATGTCCCGCCTTGTACTTAAGTACCGTGTGGCCCGGGCTGGCGAGGTGGCATGGAGTGATTGGCAAAGTGGGTATTCCTGCCTAGAGTTTCTCAGCCCCTCACTCAACTCTCATATGTCAAGTTTCTTCTCTCACTGTGCTTTGCAGCCATCCTCATCTTTGTCAATTCCACCAGTCCTTTGCTTAGTTTCTTCATTCAGAACTAATAGTATCACCACTTGACTATTGATATGCCCACGTTCCTGTCCTGCATCTTAGAAGTGAAAGCACAATCTGAAAAATGTTTATTTTTGCTCTGTTCCACTTTAGCCAATCCAGGAGATAAATGGAATATTCTGCTCTATCCTGGTTAGCAATGAGAATCATCTCTATTAAGGTTTAGACCATTTTTATTTCACCGAAAACTTGAGGTTGAGTATCAGTGATTCTCTCCACTCGATTCAGAGACTAGGGATCCAGGAGATAGTCTATTCAATACAGATATTCACCCTTTTCCTTTCACCCCTGAACTTAACCCCTGCCCAGGATCAGAGATGGCTGCGGTGGTGGCAGGAGGAGACTATTGACGAGTGGCCTGGGAGAGGAGGATGCTATGTTCCTGCGGACACACAACAGCTAAATGTTGTTTTCAGCCTTACACTTTGAGCTGCACTCTCCTAGAGTTTACAAAGATAAATGACCTATTCTTGCCTCATTGTTTCTGCCTGGATCATTCTCTTGGGATTTGCTTTTAAAAATAAATTATTTGCAACTAAGATTATATGTACACATACAATTGGTTTCATTTACTAATTCACTTGTTCGAGTATTGTTGACTATCGCATGTGGGCCTGAGCATGCAATAAAAAGCAGACATGTGTCCCCGAGGAGCTAATGGTCTAGAACTGAAGGCTGCAGTCTGTAAAAATGGCAATACATTATGAAAGGGCTGTAAGAGAAGGATGCACAAAGCTTAACTGTGACATGAAAGCAATGCAGCAGCTTTACTTGAGAGGCTTGACAGAGGACTAAGTGCTTGAGCTGCCTCTTGCAGGATGGGTGGGAATTTGCCTAGTAGACAGCATGGGAAAGGGCATTCCAGGAAGATAAAGCCTTAGCAAAAAAGGATCCAGAGACATGGAAACAGAGAGGTGCATTTGTGAGGTGCATTTCACATGGCAGGATTACAAGGTGGGAGGAGGAGGAGTAGAGTCACAAGGGAAGGATATGGAGAGCTTGGCCACGACCAGGTCAAGGAGGGTATGCCGTGCTGCTACATTTGAACTCTGTCCTGTAGGCAAGACGGGGGGACATATTCCGATTAGCATTTTACAAAGATCTCTCAAGCAGCATCACAAGAATGATACAGAGGAAGACAAGCCTGGATTTGGGAGACATGGTTTGCAGACAATTATAGTAATATTCAAGAGAAAAAAATGAAAGCCTGAATTAATGCTGCGATATTTAGAATACTAAGCACAGGATGGACTGTCAAGCTTAGCACACAGTACTTAGTGGCTGAGTCAGTGTGAAGGGTGAGGGAAATTGAAGGCAATTCCCAGGACTTGCAGCTTGGGTGACAAGTTGGGTAGTGACGATACTGCTCAGGATAAGGAAGATGAGCAGGCCTTTGAGAAAAGTAGTGACCTACATTTCATTTTTAATTTTAATTTTAATTTATTTATTCAGATGAAGTTTTGCTCTGTCGCCCAGGCTGGAGTGCAGTAGTGTGACCTCACTGCAACCTCCACCTCCTGAGTTCAAGTGATTCTCCTGCCTCAGCCTCTTGAGTAAGCTGGGAGGACAGGTGCGCACCACTACACCTGGCTAATTTTTGTATTTTTAGTAGAGACGGAGTTTTGCCATGTTGGCCAGGCTGGTCTTGAACTCCTGACTTCAGGTGATTCGCCCGCCTTGGCCTCCCAAAATATTGGGATTACAGGCGTGAGCCACTGCGCGTGGCCTGTGTGACCTACATTTTAGATATGTTGTATCTGTGGTCATGTGTGGTCTGTGGAAAGATCCTTGGCTTTGGGATAAGAAAGACCCGAGTTTCAATTTTACTTCTTCAATGTACTTCACCCGTGCATTCTTAGGTAAACCTCTGGAGATCCTTGATTTTCTGGTCTGTAAAGTGGGGATAATAATGACTGACGTGCAGGTTGTTTGTGATAGGTAAAGCTCCTGACTCAAAGCCAGTTCCAAATAAAGGGCAGATTGTTATCACTGCAGTGTCTATAGGCAGATGTCAAGACCTGGAGCCCAGGGAAGAGGCTGAAAATGCAGACGTAACTGTCAAGAGCATAAAAGAGAACAAAATCAGTGGGGCTGAGGTGCCATGCTTGTTCACTCATCCAGAATCATTTGTTGAGAGCAGGTGTATACTAGGCTCTGTATAGGAAGTAGGGAAGCCGAGATAGACAAGGATTAGTCCCTGGCCTCAGGATCTTAGCATCTATAGAGTGAGACAGAAAAGGAAGTCAAGAATGTTTTGAATAACAAGTGGCTCAATGATGAATCAATATATCCAGATTTTAAAATTGTGTAATATAATATATATACAGAAAAGGATGTAGACAGTTTGATGGATTTTCACCATTTGAACATTATCAGCATTCTAAGAGCACATCTCTTGCCCTTTTCCAGTTATGTTAGAACCCAAGGGTAACTGCTGTCCTAACTTTTAACACCGTATCTATTACTTTTGCCTGCTTTTGTCCTTTATATATATGGAATCATGTGCTCTGCTTCATGTGTGTGTGTCTGACTTATTTCACTCCATGGTATGTCAGTGAGATTTGTTACTGTTGTCGCATGTAACAATCATCCATTCTCATTACTGTGTTGAATTCCATCCTATGAATGTGCTATAATTGTTCATTCTACCATTGATAAACTTGGATTACTTTTGGTTTTGGCACTTACAAATAGTGCTTCTATGAATAGTATGGTACATCTCTGCAGGTGCAGCCCTAGGGGTGGAGTCGCTGGATCATGGGGCTTGCATGAATTCCGCTTTAGTAGTTATTACTACGTGCCTTTTTGAAGCAGGTATGACAATCTGTGCCCCTTCTAACATGCATGAGGGTCCTAACTGTCCTCAACCTGCTGTGACATTTTCATCTTTTGCATTTTGGCCATCTGATGGCTATGTAGTGGTGTACCCTTGTAGTTTTAATTTTTATTTCTTCGGTGGTTAACAAAGTTGAGCCCCTTTTCCTATTTATTTTTTTTTGGATATTCTCTTTTTATAAAGTGGCTGCTGAACTGTGTTTTCCACCTTTCTATTGGGCTTTCTCTATTTTCAGCATCAATATTGAAACAATGAGAATAACTATTGAGGGCCTATCTGGAACTATGTTTGTGGAGGTAGAGAAGAGAACAATATAGTCATACTCTGTACTTCAAGAAAGCGTGGCTGTGTGTAGGAGGAGTGAGATGATAGAATAAGACATAGGACCCAGAAAGCATTTCTGCATCAGTGTGAACCTGTTTATATGTGCTGACCAAGTAGAGCCATTGGAGAGGGAAATGTAGATGATATAAAGGAAAGATGATAATCAAGCAGAATCCTGGAGCAGCTAGAGTGCTTTGAGCTCTAGAAAGGACTGATTGGGGCAGGAGGAGGTATACTACTAAGTTTATGGGTAGAAACTGTGCATCAAATATAATTTTCTTTGAAAAAAAATTCATTTTTTTTTCTTTTTGTGAAGTGAAAGGCCAATTTATTTATCTAGAAAAACTGGATAATATTGACAAAAATGGGGAACACTTGGAATTGTCTCTGGAGGAAATGGCAGAGAGTGCTGAGCAGAGCATCCTGGAATAAGAAGGCCGACATTCAGAGGGCTCCGCAGAAGTAGCTCAGCCTGTGAAATTGGTACTTTTTCTCAGCGCCTCTAGATTACACAGGAACAGAAAAACCAGTGAACCAAATTGAGTGGTTTTTAGGATGGGTATGAAGGGCAAGGGTGTCAGATGAGTTGGGATACTGGCAAGACAAAGGGTGAAGTGGTTCACAGTGGGATTCAGAGACAATAGTGAAAGAAACCCAGAGCAGGAGGAAGAGGAAGATGGTGAACTGCTGGAATTGAGGAATTGGGTGTCTCCATAAGGTTGAAGAACAAACACTAAGTGTGAAGGTTAGGAAGGTAGGTGATGTGACACAATTGAATATATTAGCCTGTCTTAGAGACCCACATATAGTAATCTGAATTTCCTGTCGGGTTTTATGGGCAATAATCAAACATTTCAGCAAGTGACATCTCAAAAAAGGTCACGTTCTAAGTTTTAGCTTATCTTTTGCATTGTTAGTAACTAAATACTTTCTATTAAATGAAAACTTCCGATGAAGTTTTATTTGAACATTTTTCTCTAACATCGGCCATTAGTTGGTTCATTAAGGTAGTTTTTAATAATGAAGGTTAATTGAGGGATCCAAATGGTCAGGTTTCATATGCAAATGAAACACCAAAAATAAAAATCTATTGCTTTGGTCAACTTAAATGAAACAGGTTGGGTGCGTTTCTTAAGCCATTCATTATCTTTGGAGGCCTGGTTTGATCCCCTCTCTATTCTCTAGTTGTGTTTCCTGGCTGCTACACATTGAAATAAATAATAAAGTGTGTTAAAGTCTTTGGTTTAAATTTAGTACATAAAATGCCCCATATTGTGTGACACTCTCAGCTGAAGTCTAGAGAGTGAAGTTTATGTTTTTATAAAACTAGCACATACACTCTGCTAAATGAAAAAGGCTTCAATGGAAGAATGACTTACAGGAATCAGCAGACTGAAAATCTTATGATTTATCCCAGTATGTAGAGAATTCACCTTGGCAACTTGCTGAAAAATGTAGATTTGGTGCCCCAGCCCTGGAGATAATGATGTGGATTGTCCACAGACTCAACTTTGAGGAAACTGCTGTTAAGCATCTCGTTTTGGAAGATTGCTATGCATACCGTCCTACATCATTTGACCAGGAAACAAAGCAAATAACAAGAAAGGGAAACTACAAAAGAAAAAAAAAATGATAAAATAAGATGAAAGCAAGAAAAGAAACAAGAATTTAAGTCCTGAAAAAAACATTTCTACCAGATTTTTATTGTTTTAAAAAAACCAAAATTTCAGTGGATGCTAGATAGAGTCATAACTGCAAGATTACAAACAAAAAACAATGTGAGTGTACAAGACTGCACAGAAAACATATCAAGATACTGTTCAAGAAGAGGTAAACGGTCTATAAATTTAAACTTCAAGTGTTAACATTAAAATGTAGCTCTAAGTTTTATTTTCCCAACAACTTTTAAAATTGTAATGTGATGGATGTGCTACTTGTGATAATTTTGGTCATGGAGAAGGACTGTTATAAACAATTAAATTGGATTACTTAGTTTTTCTCCTGAATACCAATTCGTGCCAGTGAATTATCAAGGCGACTTTCAATCTCCAGGATGATTTTCTACTGCTTCCAGGGTTGTTGTGAAGATGAATTAAGGTCTGAGGACAGTGTCTGGCATACTGTCAGTGGGGACAGTGTAGTAGAGTAGTTCTGAACACATGCTGTGGATGCCGTAGACCCTGCGTTCAAATGACTGCTCTACCACTAACTAGCTCTATACCCTAAGTTAACTTGATTTAGTCTACTCATCTGTAAAATAAAAAAAAATTAGTGCCTTCCCATAGAATTGTTTTCCAGAAATAAAGTAGTAAATGTAAAGCACTTGGAGCACTGCAAGACACGCTGGACACTCAATAAATGTGATCCTGAAACATAGCTTCGGTTGTCAA